AGATCGAGGCAAAAGGTCACCTTGTATTTATAGCCAGGGGAGAGAGACCCCTGGTGAAGGATTAAGGAACTAAGGAGGAGCTAACTCCGACAATGGTAAATCCTTATCCAATCTTTCAGAATGGGTTGAAAGTAAAAGATTTATATCTTTAGGTTGTCCATTTGTTTTCCGTGTCGACAATACGTGTTTAAAATAGGATATAGAATCCCGACAGAGTTTTTTTTTAAAAAAGTTTGAGAAATGTAAAACGGTTTCATTCAAACTAGATTCAAGAAGTGATTTCGAGTGAAAAAAAAAAATAGACACAGGCCCGCTTCATAGTAGAATAAAAAAGTAGACATTTCCGTTTCATAATCAAAAGAAGGTAGACACAGATCCTCTTTATAGTAGACCAATTTATTGAAAGGTGTTCATCCCAACGTCTTAGGCGACAGTTATGAAGGCAGAGAAAAAAGATTAAAGATTGGTAGAACAAGCGGGTTAACAGGCAAAACAAAATTGAACAAGAAAATGTTCACATTTACAAACTACTAAAAAATAAATCCTGATCAAATAGAAAAATAAATAAATACTTTGAGCAAAAATAAAATGAACGGAAAAAAACTATTTTGAAACGTATCAAACGTGTGGTAGTGATTCGCACTGCAAAAATGACGTACAGTGTCCAGCGTGAAAAAATGAACATTTTGTTTTAAGCTCAAGTTTTTTCAAAAAAAAAAAAAAAAAAAAAAGATACACTACTAAAGCTTGTTATATATTAGGATAAACTTGCTGATTAAACCCCGGAAAGCAATTTCAATGAAAACATGCGCGGAAGCTTCACTGGTCTTAATTACTGCGCAATGCACGAACTTTAAATGCGCGCAGTAATCAAGATGGATAATACAAGAAGATCAGTAAAAAAGCTGTTAACTAAGTAAACTTCCGCGCTTTATCACTTAAGGCAAACTCATGTAAAGAACGCCAGTAATGGCGGCCGAGCTAGACGCGAATAAGACCGAACTTATATTGTCGATAACTCCTAAACGGTTTTATTCCGCAAACTTTTATTGTTATTTTCGAAATAAACATGCATATTTAGAGCAGATTGGAAATTTCCATTGCAATTGGTTTCCAGGGTTTAATCTGCAATTTTACCTATATTAGAATTTAATTTGAGAACCACTACTAGTTTTACAAGTTCACGTCTAAGCCTCGTTTCTGATCTTTGCTCCAACTTTCACCCCTGCTTTCAAATCCGGCTTCCAAAGCCTTGATCCTTATCAGAGATAAAAATATATTTTCTGACAAACGAGACATCTGGAAAATATAAAAAGGAATCTGATCATCCTTGCTCTGACCATAGTGCCATAAAGTCGGGGATAACACTCACTACTTGTCAAACCCTTGCTTCCAAAAATCAGCTCCCAATCCTTTGATTCTTATCAGAGATAAGAATATATTTTTCGGAAATTTTCTTTTCTTTCAGAAAATAAAACCTTCTGCAACAGTATTTTCACTATTGCCCAAATTAATAACGAAAAGGAAAGAAAGGAAAAAAAAAATGAAAATCAGATTCATTTACAAAGAAAAAATATTTATTTTTTAACCAGCTAAATAAGGCTGCTTGCAAAAATTCGTCCCTTTTTGCTGACAATAAGGTAACCTATTCTCTGAGTAACACAACGTAAAAAAAAAAAAACATAGCAGAAAACAAACTTAAAAATTACAATGCACAAAAACAACGAATTGCGCCCACTCTCTGTGTCAATGATGACAATAAAAAAAAGTGGGGAGAGTCTTAGCTCTACAGTACACTTTCAGTCCTTTTCAAGGTTCAAAAGTTTTTTATCTTTTTTCTTTTCTCTCTTGTGTGGACAAAGTTCTCTTTTTGTTGACCAGACTCCCTCCTTTCTTCACTTATTTTCCTCCTGTCCGCCTGGAAATTACGCCTTTCTTTTACACCGCTAGAAGGTGAAAATTTACTTAAACACGCGCTATAACACTTTTTAAACACGCACGTGTTTATTGTTGTTGTTGTTGCTGCTGCTGCTGCTGCTTCTTCTTCTTAAACGGCTTTAGCTCCAAACTCCACTTACGGACTTCTTTTCAAACTTTCTTTTCTGGAGCTTCTTCGAGAGGACTTCTCAAAACTTTCTCTGAAGGGGAAACTTGCCCTCAGCAACTTTGTTACCCATGCATCCTTCACTTATGGGCAAACGCTGCCTGCCTTTTCAGCAGGGAGAGAGGAAAATGAACCTCTTCTTTCTAAGCTGTCTCGTTTCTAACTGCTGCTAAGGTTCACTCACAGTTCTCCCTCCCCTTTCAAAAGTGGGGGGGTCGCATTTTTTTTTCGATATCCTCATCTTGAACGTCTTATATTTTCGAATGAGTTTTAAGAGTTTAAGATATAACTCTACCCCTTCTTTGAATGTTCAAATGATATATCCAATCACAGTCCATTAAAAAAAATATCAGCAGGTTCTTAAGGCCAGTAACACAGTGTGTGTCTTTTGTTTTC